ATTTTTTCTAAACATATAATAAAACTTTTATCTAATTAGTATTCAATGTTGCGGTTTTATTACTGCACTAAATGAAGACAACCATAATATCCTTACTCAAATGCAAATATCTTTATAATCGATTTTATCTATTCCCATCTGTAGTAATCTAGGTACCAAACCATAATTAGACATTTATACGAAGATCTTCATACTGGAAAGCGAACTGGATTATTGAATTTATTATTATTACAAATATTTTCATATTTATCGGAAGTCTTATGTGTGCACATTTAGAAACTTCATTAATTTTCTGTACATTAATTCGGTTTATGTATGCCGATAATTATCGTTTAGGTTGTTTACCACGAAATAATGTATTTTTTTCTATGGTGTATCTTTAATAGATGGTTTATGCAACAAAAATTAATTTTATACTAAGAGTAAATATGTAATGTAATACTGAACTTCAACTAACACTCCGCCCACTATAAAATAAAGCCAATTAAAAAAAAATTGCAATGAAACAGCTCATTTCGTGAATAATACATCAAAATTTGCCAAAACTATACGTATGTAATAGTTATAATTCTAGCACGAAAAGCAAAATTTTATACATACATAGAAAAAATAGTTTTAAACTTGAAACGAATCCAAAATGCATTTTTGAAGCAAGCCGTTCAATATGCGAGCCCACCAACAAGTGCGATTTGGACCAGGCCATCCCTCCTCCCTAATCCTTCATCTATACCTCCCTATTTCCAATTCTTTTATTTGGATTTCCAAAATCTACAAGCCTTTCACCTACATTAGAAATTTCCTCTCTATCCTGTACACAAACTGCTTTCCATTGCTTTTCTCTTCCAAAATTACTCGCCATACATTCCCTCACGAGTGATATCTAATTCCTGTAATATTCTGGACCTAAATTTGGCTAGGTGTGATCGTCTGAAACTAAGAAATTCTTGTATTTAATTTAATCTAAAACGTTTAATTTGGGACGAAATGAATCATCTGTACTATAGAAAAGGGGCGTCGTAATTAAATATTTTCTCGGCAGTGATGTGTAATTTCCCTGAGTTTTATGTAAATGACTATTATGATATTCTAACTGGTGGGTAATGATCAAAAGCTAGACATATCAAGACAGACTGAGGGATGGACGCATATGTGGGTGGACGGACAGCCATTGCGATTTCCAAACTGCGGTTCTATCTAAAGCTTCTGCTACTACGATTAACTTTTTTTTTTCAGATTATATACAAACAACAGCGCTATCTATAGATCAGAAAACGTAGTCACTAAGGAACGAGTTTTCCGTGGGAGATTTACAAAATTTCATATACAGGGTGGCAATTTGAAAACTTACCACCCCCCATGTCTTAGTAAATAAACGAGATATTTGAAAAAATCAAAATCCCTTTCGGTAATTAGCCACGCACCCCCCCCCCAACCCTCTGCGCCCCAGCCACACCAACTTTTAAATCATAAATAGTGCCCCCCCCCCCAATGTGTGATATGTCGTTGGAAAGCTCTTGTGTCGCTACCTTCGGAGACCCGATTTGATCTGCATTGCCCACAATTACTTTTGTTACTCCGAGTTCCTATTACATTGTATTCCTCAGATTAGGTTTATTGTACGAGGGTATTAGTTATCGTTGCTTTATAAATTAGTCTTTGAAACTACCGAGACATAGTCCGAAACAGATATCTACGATTTTTAGTTACGTTACTTGTATCACTCCGTAGAATTTGTTCATACTATCTTACTTACATTTTGAATTTTGAAATTAGAAATACGAAAAAGCGAGAGAAGCCGCTGTCCCTAACGAATACAGTCTTAGTATAGTGTCCGGAAAGAGTGCCTCGCAGGGGAGAAGAGAAAACCAGGATAGGAGCCAAGATATAGAAGGAGACAGCAGCATGAGGATAGCCACGTGGAATGTGCAAGGGGCAAGCGACCCAAGGAAAAGGCAGCTAATTGACGATGAATTAAGGAAACAAGGAATAGATGTAGCCTGTCTACAAGAAACCAAACTAGCAAGTGGGATGGCTGCGACAAGGAACTACGACTGGTGGATAGGTGCAAGGAAGAAGGAGAGAACCAGCAGAGGTACGGCAATCGTAATCAAGAAGTGCCGAGGCATTGAGGTGGAGAAATTTGTAGAAAAGGTGAGAGTATATCCAGCACAAGCGACCAATTACCACTACCGGACAACCTACTCGTAATCGCGGATAAGTTAGAAGACATTGAGGATTTCGTCCAAACCAGCGAGGTATACCTGGAAATGGTCGGCTCACAAATAAACAACGAAAAGAGCTACATGATTATAAGAGACCCAAGAAGCAAAACCCAGTACAAGAAGGAGACAAGATCGCCATAGCAGGGAAGGAGATAACTATGAAGCACAAGATTAAATCTGGGAGTGTACATAAGCAGAACACTCAGCAGGCACAACACAGTGAAAGACAGAATAACCAACGCATTCAGAATCACATATGGAATTCGGAACTTCATACGAGAGAAGAAAATACCGGACAGCTTGAAAATGATGATTTACAACACGATCATAGCACCGACAATCTTATACGGAGTTAACACCTCAGCGTTAACAAGAAGTAACAGACGAACTATGAGGAGGGCGGAGCGGAAGACACTCAGGATACTAATGGAAAACAGCAACCTTACAAGAAAGCAGATAAGGGAATTACTAGAGGGAAATGCGATCACCAGGAGACTGAAGACGGCAGATGAGATGGGGACATATAAACAGGAGGAACAAAGACCATATCCTACGGGCTGCCAAGAATCTATGTGCCTCGGAATGGTAGGTAGACCCTGCTTCAGATCCAACACCACCATAGACCAAACGGTAACGGCTTCGGGGATTCCCATGGGAAGAAGGGAAGAGTGGAGCAGAGACAAGCATCAAATGAAGAAAGAAAGCAGAAGAATACTGGAGGTGGAGGAAGAATCAGACATAAGCACAAGTAGCCACGAGGAGGAGGGAGAGGGGACAACCGAAAATAACGCAGGGAGAGGACAATAAAAAGGGGAGGAACAGGGGAAGAAACAGGGAAGGGAACGATACCAAAGGATAGGAACATCGGAAACAAATGAACGCCCGAAGAAGAAGCTATCACTAGAAAGCAGAGTTCCCTCTAAGGCAGATATACCAGTGGCGAAGCTGTGGCCGTACCCGTTCGGGTCGGATAACACCCAGTTAGCCCCCCCCCTCCCCATAACCCCCCAATCTACAAACTCCACCACATTGTTTGGCATATGTCGCGGCTTTTGTAAAGCCATTTAAATTATTGATTCTTATTGAGTATTAATAACAGTTTTAGTACACGAGTACACGATTAGTGTCAGACGTTAGACATTAAAACCGCAATGTTTATGCGCCGCGCTACTCATTATCCCTCTTGTTTGTTTGTCTGTGTGGTTATCTGCTACAGATAAGGCAGACAGGCGCCGTTCTGAACTCAAAAGGTCGTTACAACCAGAGGTCAAAGATAATTGTTTTTATTTTCGTCAGCTCTTTAATATAACTTTGATTACATATTGGTTTTGAATTGTAATTACTACATTTGTTTGAATGGTCATTTAACCAATATATAGCTCCGTTCTTTTCTGCGGACGCCCGTTTTGATTTTAAGAATTTCCCTGATTACGAGTCGATTCCCTTTTTTGCGAAAAATTGAGTTAAATTTAAACATTGACACTTCAGATCTAGCTACTATAGTGCCCTATTTGTAATATTTTGTGAGCATTTATTAAATTTGAATTATTATATATATATATATTATTATTTGAAGTATTTTGGCATTGCGGACGGTCTGACTTGCATCACCGAATTAAAAAGGAGTCATTTAATGTAATATACAGGGTGTTCCATATAAAAAGTCACATTTTTGTTATCTGAAACATGCGATGTAATTCGTATAAAAATGTTTAGTTTCTTTGCCATTTGAAATATGAGAAATCCGGTACAAAACTGTAGTATGGTAATTTTCTGTTAATTATTATGTCAACGTTTGCTTCAAGTTAAAAACATTCAAGTGCTTTTGAAACGTTGTGCATTTCCCTACATTGTTAGGTACTTCACCACACATAGAGATGAAATACACACAACTAATCCCATTCGGAATAAATATAATTACCGTACACTTACGTGAAGATGATTTTTATACAGCATTACGGTGAGGCAGATAACAAAATCATTAACAGCGGTAGTAATCTTTATATAGCTCTGTAAATTATAATTTTTATAGAGCACTTATGACGGCTTTGTGCAGAACAGGATAAGCTATATAACATGTATTATTGTATTCTTACCGTGGGCAGCTGTTTATGATAGGGAAATAGTATAAATTGTCAATTTTATAGATGGCTAACAATGGTTATAAATTATTTTGTTCGCGACAAAAGCTTTGTTCACTCGAAGAATTTGCAAAGCTGCCAGACGCGAGAACAAATTAGGAGGTGTGCGTTGATTTCGAATTGGGATTGGATCGTTTTAATCAAAATGATAGTTTAAAAGCTTTAAGATGGGATCCGATCTGGGTCGTCTAGAGTTCTCTCAGACTGCAGTCAAGTGCATATATTATACTTGAAATGCAATATTTTACAAATGCCATAAAATGGATATAAACTGCGCTTTACGATCACGGTTAATGTTGCGGTACCTAGAATAGCAATAGCAGGCTATTCCCTTTCGGTCAGTTTAAATTTATTATTTTTGTATCCTCTCGCGCTAATTAAAACTAAAACTTCGATTTGCCTTTTAATAAACGGAACGTGGGCATGAATGAAAAAAATGGCGATAGTTTAACAGAATATTTTTAAATCACAAATAATGGCAGCAGAATTAATGCTGACACAAGGAATTGCTTTGTCGGCAAATTTTCGTCTACGAGTGGAATTTCAATTTACACCCGACCTTACCTTAACGAAATGGAAATGTTCACGATTAATAATATCATCTCAAAAACTGGAATAAATCAAGTTATCGACTCACCATCACATTAAGCTTTCATTTGGGAAATGTCACGCTCTACTTCTTGGCCTGGCTGGTGTCGTAGGTGAATGTGGTGGTGGCGTTGTATGAACACTACTTAGCAACACACCCGAGTAAGCAGACATGGGAGGTAAGCAGATTGGCGAATAAAGTGTTGGATATAACCCCGTAGGTGCAAATCCTTGACTGAAGTGGTTGAAGGGGATGTAGTTATGTGTATACCTCGCTGCCTCGACTGCCGCTAACGCTCGAATTTCGATAAATGCTGAAAAACAAATGCCAAATTAATTTCTATTTCATGCCGACCTCATCAAACTGAATCAGTATTTTGACTTTCATGGCATTAGAAACAACAATTTATTCCTGTAGTAGGTAATACAATGTTAAAATTACTCTTTACTCTCTGTTATACATCGTTTATTACATTATCTAGACCTGAATTTAAGTACGTACTCCTCCATTCCATTGGATCATGAATTATTATTACTTTACGATTAAGTGCATTTATAATTGAAAAATCGTCAAATTTTTTTACATTTCGTATTCAAATTGCGAGCACAAATTCGTTCAACTACACAATTACTCATCCACCAATATTGAAATAATAATTGGCATTAATTATTGTCCTACTTATGCACACAAATTAGCATTAATTACCCAGTTTAATGAGATATGTAATAAAATGTTTAGTTTGTGGAGCTAAACTGATTTTCTGGTAGGTACGTAGTTGAAATGTAGCTATTGAATGTTTTAAAAACTAGAAACACACGTAAGAGAGAACTGTGTATTATAACTGGCAAAAATAATTTGTAACTGTGAGCTTTCATTTCGCTACGGCCAACAAACCTACTTGGAAATACATGGTAGCATTTAGTTAAAGCTCCGTGACAATAGCAAAACAACCTCTACCATATTCCTGATGTAATAAAGCGTCTTATTGTAGTAAAGTCAAGAGAACTACTGTAAAGGGCTCCATTCCGAAAATAAAGACACCTATTTCCGTAATTTAGCGTATCACGTACTTCACCTTTTAGGGAAAAAAATGTGTTTTGTAACCAAGTTACCTAGATTTTAGTTGGGTTCTCAAATTTGCAACTTCAACACAAAATGAAAACACTTCTTAGAAAACTGTTTTCCACTTGAATTGTTTTTTTTAAAACGGACCTGCATTCTTTTTATATTTTGAATCAGTTCGCCATTCTTAGAAAATGCATGGATCACACTTGCTTAGTTACTAAATGCTACCACAGTGCCAACAAAAATTCACATAAAAATATTTAAAAACATTGAGTGGACAAGGAAGGTTTCATAGGAAGCAAAAATATTTGTATTAACCACACGAAACGTATGAGTACCTTACAACTGCGGTTATAAAACTAACAAACTCTAGGTAACGGAAGAAGGAATTTTTTTGAAAATTTCAAACCCATAAATTTTCCAAATGATATTGTTATTAATAATATCAACAATGATGAAAACGACACTGTTTACTCTTACGGCAGCCCTCGTAAAACCAGCGACTGCACTTTTAGAGGTTTTTGATGATGTAAAAATGTAATTGTATTTATTGTTCATAATTTACAGTAACAGAACAGCACAATATAATAAAATAAACTGCAGTGCAAGTATATCGCATAAGAGAAAGAAAAGATAATACAAGCTATCAAAGTGAGACAAAAATATGAAGAATATAAAAGCAAAAAAAAAACGAAACTTAAAACAAGTACATACAGTGTATTTCAGATAATAAGGTCACCTCAATATCTTTTTTATTTGGGAGGATACGAAAAATTTGTTATTTCATTCTATAACGGCTATAGAATGAAATAATTAAGTCCTTACAGAAGTTCTCTGCAATATTGCATTTTTCCTTTGTAGGTACAGGTTAGTACACTCGACTTTCGTATTCATATATTTATGTAAGCGGAACTTCGTGAAACATGAAAACATCACGCTTTATTACGGCTCGCTAAGGCAGCTTTATTATACCAAGGGGTGCGCGAAGGAGCGCGGCCCACATATGAGGACTTCGTACGCGACATCCAAGAAAGACGGTCGAGAAATAGAGCAATGTATCGAGCCATTGTTACTGTTCAATAAACGCCCACTGTAAATTGTCGTATAGTGTTTAATTAAGGGGTGTAATACCCCTAATCCTTTATAAAGTTAGTGAATCTTTTACATCAGAAGTGGGATGTGCCCAAATAATTAACTAATAGCTACCGAGATAATTACATTAAAAAAAAAAGTGTTTAAAGAAATTCGCGCCGCGACGGTGCGGTCCGAAAAAGTGTTGTTTGTAACGTCGAGTGCCATGCAAGACAACAGACAAGTGAGTTGCAGAAAATTTTGATTACCTAAGTGGAAGCGCAATAACGTAAACCGAAATCGTATAGTAGGGAACAGTTTTCGTTTTTTATTGACTAGCCCTCGTGCGAGTAGGTGCCCGGATGAAAAGTTGTGGCACATTAAACTGTTTACATGCTCACTTCTGTGAGTAGAGTACAATTCGGTTAGAAACTTGCGTTCCGCCTTACCAATACAATGACCACAATTGGAACGTGAGCTTTAGGAACTTAAGCGGGTTCGACGCAAGACCATTAAATTTAAATCGGTCAAGAATTCCAAATACGTTTTGATATACGCGGGAAATAATACAAAAGTTACGACGCAAAACCCGTTTTTAGGAAGAAATTGCCATCGCCAGACATTGAAAACAATGCATTGAATTTCTACTTCCAAATCAAGCATTTATTGCCAAAACCAAGATACCTCAATTAAACTTTTGATTAGAACAGTGACATTTCGTAACCAAGGAAACGCCTCTTTAACTTCTTAATTTATGACGTCTGAAACCCTATTCGAACTGAATATGAGTGGTAAAAACTAGTTTAAAGTTAAAAATAGAAACCGCATTGACCCTTTAAAAACTCATCATTACCTAAGTGAGGGAAAGTTGCTGTCGTCTTAAAAAAAAAAGAAACGCACTTTAATACATCGCGCTCGTCGTTTGGTGTGCAAAAAGAGCAGCTGGCCGCGACAACACGTATCTAAGCTGAATGTTCCTCAAGTATTGGGGAACTCGCGCGTTCCGACATCAAAGATGAAGGAATTAGCGGAAGGTAGCAAATAAGAGGATGGAATATCATCCCGGCGTCGTTCGGTTCAGATGACCACAGATGAACACAGGAGATCATGATGCATTATTACCCCGCAAAATTAAAATACCACCCATCAATTCCTCGGGATAACGAAACTACAATATTTTGTATAATCTGCGGACTTCACCTAGAACTCCAAGCGAATGACAACAAGAGCGTTCCGGTGGACTATACCAGATTACCTTCGGAAGAGTCAACTTTTATCGTAGCGGAAAAAAACGGACATTCTGCAAAAAGTTCGCCGATGTCACGCCTGCGAGTATGCGCAGCATTCAATAAAGGATTTCCTTCAACACCTATCGCAAGAACTGTCACTACTCGGCGAATCATCGCAAATCCAGACATAACACAATATGGAATCTGCAAAAGCGTTCGGAATATGGCAGTTCCATCGAATTTGGGGAAAAGAAAACATCAAATTTCGGCCCTTTACAAATTACACATGGTCCTTTAGCGCTGGGGCATCGTCTCCCATAGATGAACCATTCGTTCTATGTGCATCAATTGAAGTAGAGCTGCCTAATCCAAGGGAAGTCTTAAGGCTCACTGTCAATGCATCAGTTTTCTATAATAAATTTTAATTATTTTCTAGCACCAATTGGTTGGATATTCGGTGGCTGTAGAGGTAGAGTATAGAAGGTTAGCAGATAGCTGGTGGAGGACACCTAATATTAGAATGGAAAAGTCCATCCACCATTCGAAACAGAGAGGCACGCTTTACCCAAACACAAACTACGAGTTACAGTATCTCTTCATGGCGAATCCAATGCCTGACCTCCACACCTCGAGAATGCTAATGGAAAAAAGTGTAAGTCACGTTGATCCTTAACTCGATTCATATCGTCAAAAAAAAAACAGATAAAAAAAAAAGGTGCAAGCAGCATTCGTAAATATTTTTGAAATCATCATTCAATTTAAAAAAAAAAAAAAAAAAGCCTTTTTGTAATCAAAAACGATTTTATTCCTGAATTATCCCAATTAATCCCATAAAAAAAAAAATATTCCGATGATTCCGGAATCTCAAACATTCCGAGTGTTCCGGAATAAAAAAAAAAAAAAAAAAAAAAAAAAAAAAAAAAATCATTCCGATGATTCCGGAATTTCAAACATTCCGAGTGTTCCGGAATTTAAAAAAAAACATTCCGATGATTCCGGAATTTCAAACATTCCGAGTGTTCCGGAATTAAAAAAAAAAAAAAAAAAAAAAAAAACCTCTGATGATTCCGGAATTTCAAACATTCCGAGTGTTCCGGACTAAAAAAAAAATAAAAAAAAAAACATTCCGATGATTCCGGAATTTCAAACATTCCGAGTGTTCCGGAATAAAAAAAAAAAAAAAAAAACATTCCGATGATTCCGGAATTTCAAACATTCCGAGTGTTCCGGAATTAAAAAAAAAAAACATTCCGATGATTCCGGAATTTCAAACATTCCGAGTGTTCCGGAATAAAAAAAAAAAAAAAAACATTCCGATGATTCCGGAATTTCAAACATTCCGAGTGTTCCGGAATAAAAAAAAAAAAAAAAGAAAAAACATTCCGATGATTCGGAATTTTTAACATCCGAGTGTTCCGGAATTAAAAAAAAAAAAAAAAAAAAAAAAAAAAAAAAAAAAAAAAACATTCCGATGATTCCGGAATTTCAAACATTCCGAGTGTTCCGGAAAAAAAAAAAAAAAAAAAACATTCCGATGATTCCGGAATTTCAAACATTCCGAGTGTTCCGGAATTAAAAAAAAAAACATTCCGATGATTCCGGAATTTCAAACATTCCGAGTGTTCCGGAATTTAAAAAAAAAAAAAACATTCCGATGATTCCGGAATTTCAAACATTCCGAGTGTTCCGGAATAAAAAAAAAAAAAAAAAAAAAAAAAAAAAAAACATTCCGATGTACAGAAATTAAAAAAAAAAAAAAAAAAAAACCCCCATCCAATGAATCCCATTCTAAGAATAATAATTACAAAAGCACATTAATCACACTAAAAAAAAAAAAAAAAAAGATCACTGCTTTTCGATTTCCAATTAACCTGAGATATCGGCGCGAGGACGCACCGATTACAGGATGGCCGTTGGGATGGGTGTTTTTTTTTTTTTTTTTTTTTTTTAATTTCTGTACATCGGAATGTTTTTTTTTTTTTTTTTTTTTTTTAGGAACACTTTCCGGAACACTCGGAATGTTTGAAATTCCGGAATCATCGGAATGTTTTTATTGGGGAACTCGCGCGTTCCGACATCAAAGATGAAGGAATTAGCGGAAGGTAGCAAATAAGAGGATGGAATATCATCCCGGCGTCGTTCGGTTCAGATGACCACAGATGAACACAGGAGATCATGATGCATTATTACCCCGCAAAATTAAAATACCACCCATCAATTCCTCGGGATAACGAAACTACAATATTTTGTATAATCTGCGGACTTCACCTAGAACTCCAAGCGAATGACAACAAGAGCGTTCCGGTGGACTATACCAGATTACCTTCGGAAGAGTCAACTTTTATCGTAGCGGAAAAAAACGGACATTCTGCAAAAAGTTCGCCGATGTCACGCCTGCGAGTATGCGCAGCATTCAATAAAGGATTTCCTTCAACACCTATCGCAAGAACTGTCACTACTCGGCGAATCATCGCAAATCCAGACATAACACAATATGGAATCTGCAAAAGCGTTCGGAATATGGCAGTTCCATCGAATTTGGGGAAAAGAAAACATCAAATTTCGGCCCTTTACAAATTACACATGGTCCTTTAGCGCTGGGGCATCGTCTCCCATAGATGAACCATTCGTTCTATGTGCATCAATTGAAGTAGAGCTGCCTAATCCAAGGGAAGTCTTAAGGCTCACTGTCAATGCATCAGTTTTCTATAATAAATTTTAATTATTTTCTAGCACCAATTGGTTGGATATATTCGGTGGCTGTAGAGTATAGAAGGTTAGCAGATAGCTGGTGGAGGACACCTAATATTAGAATGGAAAAGTCCATCCACCATTCGAAACAGAGAGGCACGCTTTACCCAAACACAAACTACGAGTTACAGTATCTCTTCATGGCGAATCCAATGCCTGACCTCCACACCTCGAGAATGCTAATGGAAAAAAGTGTAAGTCACGTTGATCCTTAACTCGATTCATATCGTCAAAAAAAAAACAGATAAAAAAAAAAGGTGCAAGCAGCATTCGTAAATATTTTTGAAATCATCATTCAATTTAAAAAAAAAAAAAAAAGCCTTTTTGTAATCAAAAACGATTTTATTCCTGAATTATCCCAATTAATCCCATAAAAAAAAAAAATATTCGAAACGTAAAAAAAAAAAAAAAAAAAAAAAAATTCAACAGAAGAAAAGAAAGGATTTAATACTAAAATAAAATTTAAAAACAAAAAAAAAAAAAACAAAAAAAAAAAAAATTTTGTTGTCCAACAGAAATCTGTTTCGCTGTTTTGCATTTTCAGATTAACCTGAGAAATCGGCGCGAGGACGCACCGATGACAGGATGGCCGTGTAAGCGGAACTTCGTGAAACATGAAAACATCACGTTTTATTACGGCTCGCTAAGGCAGCTTTATTATACCAAGGGGTGCGCGAAGGAGCGCGGCCCACATATGAGGACTTCGTGTTCGTACGCGACATCCAAGAAAGACGGTCGAGAAATAGAGCAATGTATCGAGCCATTGTTACTGTTCAATAAACGCCCACTGTAAATTGTCGTATAGTGTTTAATTAAGGGGTGTAATACCCCTAATCCTTGAGGAACATCCAGCTTAGGTACGTGTTGTCGCGGTCAGCTGCTCTTTTTGCACACCAAACGACGAGCGCGATGTATTAAAGTGCGTTTTTTTTTTAAGACGACAGCAACTTTCCCTCACTTAGGTAATGATGAGTTTTTAAAGGGTCAATGCGGTTTCTATTTTTAACTTTAAACTAGTTTTTACCACTCACATTCAGTTCGAATAGGGTTTCAGACGTCATAAATTAAGAAGTTAAAGAGGCGTTTCCTTGGTTACGAAATGTCACTGTTCTAATCAAAAGTTTAATTGAGGTATCTTGGTTTTGGCAATAAATGCTTGATTTGGAAGTAGAAATTCAATGCATTGTTTTCAATGTCTGGCGATGGCAATTTCTTCCTAAAAACGGGTTTTGCGTCGTAACTTTTGTATTATTTCCCGCGTATATCAAAACGTATTTGGAATTCTTGACCGATTTAAATTTAATGGTCTTGCGTCGAACCCGCTTAAGTTCCTAAAGCTCACGTTCCAATTGTGGTCATTGTATTGGTAAGGCGGAACGCAAGTTTCTAACCGAATTGTACTCTACTCACAGAAGTGAGCATGTAAACAGTTTAATGTGCCACAACTTTTCATCCGGGCACCTACTCGCACGAGGGCTAGTCAATAAAAAACGAAAACTGTTCCCTACTATACGATTTCGGTTTACGTTATTGCGCTTCCACTTAGGTAATCAAAATTTTCTGCAACTCACTTGTCTGTTGTCTTGCATGGCACTCGACGTTACAAACAACACTTTTTCGGACCGCACCGTCGCGGCGCGAATTTCTTTAAACACTTTTTTTTTTAATGTAATTAGTAAAAAAAAAAAAAAAAAAAAAAAAATGAATTCAACAGAAGAAAAGAAAGGATTTAATACTAAAATAAAATTTAAAAACAAAAAAAAAAAAAACAAAAAAAAAAAAAATTTTGTTGTCCAACAGAAATCTGTTTCGCTGTTTTGCATTTTCAGATTAACCTGAGAAATCGGCGCGAGGACGCACCGATGACAGGATGGCCGTGTAAGCGGAACTTCGTGAAACATGAAAACATCACGCTTTATTACGGCTCGCTAAGGCAGCTTTATTATACCAAGGGGTGCGCGAAGGAGCGCGGCCCACATATGAGGACTTCGTACGCGACATCCAAGAAAGACGGTCGAGAAATAGAGCAATGTATCGAGCCATTGTTACTGTTCAATAAACGCCCACTGTAAATTGTCGTATAGTGTTTAATTAAGGGGTGTAATACCCCTAATCCTTTATAAAGTTAGTGAATCTTTTACATTTATGGCTCGGAAAATCGATCATCTTTTAGAACCGCTAGAACGTTTAATGAGAGACATACCGGGGGAAATGTTAAGCCATGCCTATGTTCAAGATTTGGTCGCTAAATTCGAAGAAACGGGATCTGTTTTTTATTAGTTATTAAATTTTTCTGAAATTGTCTTAATGAATTATGACTTTATTGGTACTACTGGAAACCATTTTTCAGTAGCTTTTCAACTGCAGGTTTTAAAATTGAAACCCTGTATATTTCGTCTAGAAGTTCCAATCGGCTTTTATAAGTACCCTCCACCGACACTCCGCTCTGGAGATAGGAAGAATTATAAGCGATCACTATAGGGGTCGAGGAGGACTGTGGTTGGTAGAAATGAATTTCTTTCTTTGAGCCCTTTCATTAGAGTTAAAGCCAGTTTTACATGGCACCACTAGAGGCATGCGTATGCAGAATCTGAGGTTGTCGCATGTAAGAAATTCAGAAAATAATTCATATCCCCCCACCCCCCCAGGACAGCGAAATTTGATGGCCGTCTAGTACACCTTCAAGATATAGGCTACCTATTGCGAAAAGTTCCAGGACTAGGACCCATTCCCCTAAAAGTTCAACACGGCAGAAGTGAGTCCCGACGGACAGACGGACAAAATGCAAACAATAGCACATAATGCGCTAAAAAGTTTTGCATTTCTTCTTTAATTTTTTCTTAGCAAGTTACAAAGACCGATGGCACGTCTTTGAGTACTTTTTGGGATATGCCTTTTCCGCCCTAAATAGGGGGTGCAAGCAAATTCTTATTTCCACGAAATCTGGTGTCTGGGGGTTTTTGAACATGAAATCACGAATCTGAAATCATTTTTTGGAATTTCGAAAAAAAAACTGCAATTCTTGGCCGGACGACGAAAATGGAGAGAATTCCACGAAATTTTTGTGTACCTACTTGGTCAGATAAGGAACAAAATGGTCGAACAGTTTTTTTAAATCATTATTCTAAGAAAAGTTATATGTCTTTGGTTATACTCATTTGAAAATTGGTCCTTCGAGTCAGAAAGTATCCCACGTCTACTAACTCATCTAATTTTGCACGTAGATAGCTGAAAATGTCGCAATTTTCACGATCCCCTAAATGCAATAATAAATCAAATTAGATCTTAAGTTCTAATGTTTGTTCAGAGCCCCAGTGCCATGTAATTGGAACTTTTATTCTGTATGGTGTCTGGTTAAACAAATAAACAAATAACAAGTTTAATATTGATGCCTTCTATATCATTATTGACATTTATTGTAACTTGATAAACTTTTATAAACCTTGTTGAATGACCGACGGCTAGCTCCTGTGATAATTTTTATGGTTACTTGCAAGAAAATTTAATTTCCTGAATAACTTGCTTGCAAAATCAAATCTCAACATTCAAATATATTGATGCAAAAATTTATATGATGTTATGGTTCCAAATTACATTTCACTTTACACATCTTTTTCTATTTCATTAGGAAATTCCAACTAATTAAATTAAGATGCTCACCGCGGTCTTTGTGAACTAAAGTCAAGTTAAATTGAAATGAAATAACAATAAAAGGCATAAGATTTTATAAAACAAAACTACCTTACACATAATCGGAATGAACCTATGAATGTAGATATTTTCTCTAATGAACTCGATTTTAAATGAAAAACTTATTTATTCTACCAAATCCGAGACCAAATCTAATTTTCATGGGTTCAAACAGATGCAATAAAAAACTGTTTGAAATGTTTTCTAGACGTTAATCTCTGATTTATGTTTTCCTTAATAATCTTTAAACGTCAAGGTGTTTGAAAACTATGAAAATTTTTCTTATAAATATAAAACTGGTAATATGATATAAATACATACATACTGCAGTACCTCGTAAACAGAACGTCCTTGTAGCTAATGTTGATGATACAGTAACAAGACGGTAACATCCCCCTTCCATCGACAATGGTATAGAACTGTAATTCCCAACCTGCGACCCCCTTACCCCCTTTTTAGGTTTAGGTTTTTTGGCCCCCCCCCCCCCCCTATAAATTATAAGTGTTCAATACACAATAAAAACGTCTACAATAGCTGTAACTCCCTCGGACACGTCCTGTGACCCACCGGTTGAGAACCACTAGTATAGAAGAGCTGCAGTTTGGAACCCTTCCGTCAGATACTTTTTCTTCTACTAATTGACCAAAACAGCTGCCTTCAAAATGAAATTTACTCCAACGGCTACCTCCAATGTTTATACATTGCAAGAAATTCAAATTTTGTTATCACGACAATTTATGAATATTATCAAGGTTTTAAATATTTTTTATGTTACTGCATAAAAAAGAGAATTTTTCCATAAACAAGACACTTTATTTTTATGGATGTCTCTTTAATACGTGTGTTAACTATCCGTTTACCCTTTAGCCCAGTAAATAAAGGCCTAAAATTACCATTTGTCGCAACTAATTAGTGGAAAGCTGGATTTTTTATATGTGATACTACCTTAAGAGACAAGTATTTTCCCAAAAGTCCCCGCCTCTCCCCTTTGAGCTTTCCCCTCCAGCTCCCTCAAAGTTAGAAAAAACAGAGTTTTCATATATTGACTGTAGAATGCTTAGTATTTATAACAGAGTGATAACCTTTTTGCTTTGTCAGCTCAGTCAGATCCAACTTCGACCTAGTAAAACTACCTCCAACCTCGAGTGCAGCTCATCAACATCTGTTGAGAGTTTATCTTCAAATTCAATTTTGGATAGGAAATAAACTTAATCCAACGGAATGGGGTTGGAAGTACGCTACTGTGAGAGAAAATGGAATGACAAAAAAGGCTTTAAGGCCTGTTCCTAATACAGAGCCATTTGCCCCTAATGACTTACTGTATCTGTACTGTAGCAATCAAATATTTGTAAATATTGTAAGTAAATAGACGAATATGTAACTATAATCTCTCTGTAAATAAAACTGTACAAATGTTCATTCGAGTGTGGTGGGTGGGCGGGTGGTCCGTGATGCCAATCAGACAAATAAATTTAAAAAAACAATCCAAGTGAGATGGTGGCTTTAAGATGTAATATAATGTAGGAGCTTAAGTGGATTTTTGAAATGATAACGTGCGGCGGGGGCGTTCGAGCAGCACGCA